CAGAGAACTTAACTTCTACTGAGTCAGCACCGATTCATGTCGTCATCAAATGTAAGTACTGGACATAAATATCACCATTACTGTATGTCATCTTCAGTAATTTACAGGGTCACTTGATCCAGTGCAACAAGTTCAAATGTGTAATGGAAAATGATAACACAACCAGCAATTCAAAGTAATACTTCCAAAAGTCGTCATTCCTGTATTATGTAAACATTAAGCAAACACTTTTTAAGATGGATCAGCTTTTACATCAACACTGTACTCACCAGCCACTTCATTAGGTGTACTCGTTCAACTTCATGTGGCAGCAACTCGATGCAGAAGAATTTTATTTAACCCTTTAAATAAAGGGGCGATTGTGGCTCAAGAGTTGGCAGTTTGTCTTGTAATCAGAAGGTTGCTGGTTCGAACCCCGGCTCCAACAGTGTCGGTCGTTGTGTCCTTGGGCAAGACATTTCACCCGTTGCCTACTGGTGGTGGTCAGAGTGCCTGGTGGTGCCAGTATCCGGCAGCCTCGCCTCTGTCAGTGCGCCCCAGGGCAGCTGTGGCTACAATGTAACTTGCCATCACCAGTGTGTGAATGGGTGGATGACTGAACGTGTAAAGTGCTTTGTAGTCCTTAGGGACCAAGTAAAGCGCTATACAAATACAGGCCATTTACCATTTAAGACCTACCATAGAACCAAGTCCGCCAGAGCTTATCTTTATATTTTTACATGCCGTAGTGCCATTTTTGGGAGCATTTCAAGTTGCTATTCATCAATACAACCATTATAGCCCAAACTTTAATAATATGTATGCATTAAGTGCAAAATAACTACACAAATGGCAAAAAAGTGCCGTAAACTACAAAAAAAATTGAAAATCGTTTTTGGTTTTTTTACATCTAGTTAGAGAAATTTAAGAGGTTTATCCCTCAAAACTGTATATACAAAAACATTGCACAAAATAGTTTCCAACAACAGGAAATTTATTTTGAGTGTCTTCATGTTTTTGTTTTTGAGATACACCAATTTTTATATACTGCAGGAAAAAATGAAAATAAATATTATAATGCAAATTTGCAAAAAAAACCAAAACAGCATGTGCATCAAAATAAACTATTTCCAGCAGTGCAATTTGAGTTCTAAGCATCCCAGAAACTATACAGAAAAGCATAGAGTCAAACATGACTTTTAAAAAAACCCCACCAGTGTAGGCTTATAAGGCCCCAAAGGTAAAAAAACAAAACAAAAAAAAAAACAAAACTACATTTTCTTGTTGCTGCAAGTGCTTTTTATGCAATTTTTGCAAAGCTTTATGTGGAAGGAAACTGTGACCTAGGACAAGCTGATGGCATAAGATGTAAGTACAACTCATCTGGTTTCATATGCAAATTTTTTTATTGCGCTAGCTTACGTGGTTGCAGTTCTACAGTGATTTTAAAAAAAGTTACGCAAAACGGAGCGTTCCCGCTCCGACCGGTTTTAAAGGGTTAAGGGATTTTAAATTCTGGTGGTCCGAGTATTTCTGAATCTGTGGATGTACTGGGATTTTCCCTCACAACCATCTTTAGGGTTTACAGGGGATGATCAGAACATTTTTTCTGCTCTTGCTCTTGACGAAGGCGGTCGCACTTTTCTCCTCTCCTCCTCCTCCTCTCCCTTAGCTTCCCTGCTTAGCCTCTTGTGTCCTTGTCTAGTCTCGTGTTTTTTGTATTACTTTTCCCTGGAACACTCTCTCACAGTCTGTTCTCTAAAACCTAAAAGAGGAATTATGGATTGGATCAACTGGTCCCTAAATGCAATTGACACCCCATTCTCAATGAGAAGTTTGGGCTCGGGTGAGCCTGAGTGCTGAGGATATCTACCTATTCGGAACCATGGTAACAGGGTTCTGGCGGATCGGAGCTGGCTTGGCCCTGACTTATCGAAGAATTAAGAAAGCGGAACCGGCTGTTCAAAC